TAATCGCATTTGGAAGGAACTCCATACCCTTACTCTAGCATTTATACAGTGTGCATTAGAGTTGGCTGCTATGTCAAACAGCCATGATGTTTCAATGGCTTAACCCAAGGAAAGTTTATTCCTTACTTAGGAGTAGTCCAACCCAAGTGCCCTATTTCAATGGCTCTCCTCCAAGTGGCTTCTCAGAGACTCAGGCTCTGACTGTTTCCTAGATCCTTGGGGTTTTTTGGCTCCAGTTATAGACGATCACATGAAAGGCTTTTAGGGAGAAAGAAGCAGCATCCTACTTCTACCCCATTCCATTGGCCAGAATTGGTCACAAGATCCCACCCACCTTCTCAGGAGAATTGGGAAATGTAGTCTGACTGTGTGCCCTAAAGGAAGCTGATTTTGATGACTATATAGTGGTTTCTCTAGAAGACCATATGTAGTCAACTCAATCTTTAAAAAATAAGCAAAGGGGCGCCTGGGTGGCGCAGTCGGTTAAGCGTCCGACTTCAGCCAGGTCACGATCTCGCGGTCCGCGAGTTCGAGCCCCGCGTCGGGCTCTGGGCTGATGGCTCAGAGCCTGGAGCCTGTTTCCGATTCTGTGTCTTCCTCTCTCTCTGCCCCTCCCCCGTTCATGCTCTGTCTCTCTCTGTCCCAAAAATAAATAAACGTTGAAAAAAAAAATTTTTTTTTAAATAAGCAAAGAGGAAATTTGCCCTACCAGTCATAGAAGCTCATCATTGCTGTCCTCTCTGTGTTGTTGATGGCTCATCCTCCCACGACTGTTCTAACTTGAGTGTCCCTCAGCAAGAATAAAATGACCCCCCCTTTCCCTCTTTGGTTCTCTAAGGGAAAGTAATAGGACTTTCTTTTTCTTCCTTCTTTCCTTCCTTCCTTCCTTCCTTCCTTCCTTCCTTCCTTCCTTCCTCCTTTTTTAAAGAAAGGCAGACTGTCACATGTAGCACCTCATTTGGATATGTCTGGAGTCTTGGAAGCTTGATTACCATACGTTCTTCTACAAATGGACCTTGAGAGCTTGTTTGGAGATTCTAGCAGGGGAGTGCAGCTACCCAGACACCCTCGACCTAAGAATGGTCCTCCTCTATGGGGAAGGTTATCCTCTTTGACCAAGTGTGCAGCTTCAGGGGGGAACACACAGAGAGGTGAGGGAGGAAGGGGACACCCACTTAGCCAGCCAGATCAATCAAATCAACCCTGGCGATCAATGGAATGACAGATGTCTCAGCCAGATTGCCCTCACATCTGGTAGTAGGCCTTTCTTAAAGTGTATAATAGGACTTTCTTCAGTATCTTGTCTTGGGATCAAAGGTAGTAATAGTAACTAGCATTTATCGAGCACATATCGTATAATCAGGTACTTCTATCATTATCTTAGGATGGGGCAAATCTTAAGATCTGGATGAAATATGTAAAATTAGTAATGTATTTTAATTTACTTTTTTCTATAAATGGCTTTCATCCTTTTTTTTTTTTTTAATGTTTATTTATTTTGAGAGAGAGGGAGAGAGAGCATGTGAGAACACATGTGAGCAGGAGAGGGGTGGAGAGAGGAGAGAGAGAATCCCAAGCAGGCTCCACACTGTCAGCACAGAGCCTGACCCGGGGCTCAATCCCACAAACCTTGAGATCATGACCTGAGCTGAAATCAAGAGGGGAGTGCTTAACTGACTGAGCCACCCAGGAGCCCCTAAATGGCTTTAACTTCTCTTTTTAATGCCCATTCTTCTGGGTGGCAGAAACTTAATTCCAGTTGATTTTGGCTCCTGCTCTATTCCAGGTTTTGCCTGAGTTTCCAGGTGATGGGAAGAGGCTGGGATTCCATGTCCTGGTGTCCATCTATCCATAGTGGCATCTGCCATTACATCCTGTCAAGTGACAGAACTGAAGCAATTTGAGTTTAATGTCCTTTATTCAAGGGAAAACCCTCCACAGACGAGGGGAGTAGTGCCTCACAAGCAGTAGAGCACTGTTCCCAAGGGTGTTTGGGCAAGAGCGAGTTTTATAGGGCGTTAGAAGAGGCAATGTGGAAACAGGGCATGATTGATGAGGGTTTCCTTCTAAGTCTAACAGGTCTTGTTTCCTAGGGTAAGGTAAGCTCGCTAAAGCTGAGGTGGAGGATTGTGATCGGTGTGTGTTAGGTTTCCCTGACAGATGTTTTTCCTAAGCACAGGCTGACTTGGGTTTAGATTTGTGACGTGAGCCTCCATTTTGTGGGTCCCGGTGTACAAATTAACTTTATCAATCCCAACTGCCAGACTTGACATCCCATCAGGACCCTGCCTGGGTTACTCCTTCGCTCCACACCTCCAAGTCATGATTCTCTCTGCTACCTCAAAACTACCTCCTACCTCACCAAGAACAAGCCACAGTTTCCGGCATCTGGAGAGAGCCTGATACTCCCACCTCCCCTCTCAGCCCTTCTGCCTGACAAATTCTGCTGCCTGGAGCCACCTCCCTGGGGTAAGCCTTTTTCTCAGGGACACTACTACCAATGTTTTGCCTCTCTTGGGCTTCTCTCCTCCCTTCCATAGCCTTGATAATCTTTATATACCTCGTTCTCTGTTTTTCCGTGTTTAATATTTATGCCACAAACTTGATGCTTCCATCATTCAAGGGTTAAATTTGGCAGTTCGAAAGGCCTCCTTACCACTCCTAAGTAGTTTTGTGGCTTTTCTGCCTTATCACTCCTCCCCTGAGGCAATAAAAGCTAGCTGACTTCAAGGCGATAAGGAAAGACTACAGACAGAATCAGGAGGAGGGCAAGGGACACTAGGAAATAAGTACACAGTTTAAAAAGCATTTGTAAATTTGTCAAAATATTTCCCTGTCACAATCTTGTTGAATTCTCAACGACCGCTCCCTGATGGCCATTACTATCTCTATTTGACCCACGAAGACACTAAGCTGTGTTCTTAGGATCTACCTTGCCAGGATACGTTTTGGTGTTTGGCGGATGAAAGAAGTTATTTCCATTTTGAATCGGTAGAAAGTTGGGCGAAAAGGCCATTTACAAGACATTCACTGTTATTACTTTTTTTTTTTTATTTTTTTTATTTTATTTATTTAAAAAAAAATTTTTTTTTTCAACGTTTATTTATTTTTGGGACAGAGAGAGACAGAGCATGAACGGGGGAGGGGCAGAGAGAGAGGGAGACACAGAATCGGAAACAGGCTCCAGGCTCTGAGCCATCAGCCTAGAACCTGACGCGGGGCTCGAACTCACGGAGCGCGAGATCGTGACCTGGCTGAAGTCGGACGCTTAACCGACTGCGCCACCCAGGCGCCCCTCACTGTTATTACTTTTAAGCGCCAACACAAACTGATAGGAAATCTTATCTAATGGAGACAAGTCTTAGACATTCTTTAACAAATACCTAAGGCACACTTGAAAATTGTAAGAAGCCTATTATTTGGAATGGATAGAACAAAGCATTCGAGAAGTATCCTCTTAATTAAGTTAAACTCCTTCTAGCAATCTCTTCTAATGATTTGCTTATTAGGAAAATCCTTTTATTTACCAACAGTGTGAATGTAAAGTTTGCTTAATCATTCAATAAATATTGATTGAGGCCTTTTTCGAGGCCGAGGCCAGACAGTAATTAGGTTTTAAACTCTCCAATTTGCAGCATTGAGATTCCCTGAGCTGCCTCCTCCCCTCAGCTTTAAAATCTTTTTCTAAAATTTAACAGCAAGGTTTCTTCATTCAATGAACACCCGAAGCAGGAGGTTCTGCACCAGAGGGGGCTCTGGGAGCCTCACAGAGGAGAGAGGGTGGGGGGCCCGGAAAGAGGTGCTTAGAACCGTGGGGGAGGGGACAGTGGCTGGCATGGCACGGGTGCCGACGAGGAGCCTGAGGATCTGAGGAATGAACAAACACTGCAGTGGTGTGTCAGGAATAGAAGACCCCTCTGGGGACAGTGCCTCCATTTTCTATAGATGTCTTCCTCCTGACCTGTTTTGACTGAGCCTCAGTGCCCCAGGACGACTGGGCTTTTCTTATACCCAGTGAAACCCATCACGCCTTGGTATCCTAGTGCCAGACAGCGCCGCAGAAGAATCTGGAGGAGCATGGGACACAACAGCAGAGACGAACCAAAGAGAAGTGTGCGGCTGGATGTTTGGAGAGGGCAGGTCACGGTCAGGACAGTAACCAAGGTTGGGTGGCAGGGGAACGTGGCTGGGGCTCTCGCTTCTAAAGGAAACCACGGTAAAAAGTGGTTTTCGAAACGCCCAGACCTTTGCCCAGGATTCCAAACAGCACTTATCAGAGAACCTCCAGAGAACTCCTAACCTGCGGGTCCAGGTTCAACAAGGGCTCAGCATCTTACGGTAGAAGAATCAGCAACCTCAGAAGGAGGGACACCTGGCACCTGTGAAGCTTTGCAGGCGTTGGGTTCAATGGTTTCGAAGGCACCACCTTCCGTTAGGAAAGACGGCGGCTTCCCGTGGGTAGCGGGGAGACTGAGGGGCTTCTCAGGAGAGCTTGGTGCAGCCAACGCTGGCATCCTTAGTAAGAGGTATCCGAGTGGTGTTGATATTGCCACCAACTGCCTTTTCAAACGCCAGAATCAGTAATGGCCATTTCCAGTAGCTGGGAAGGTTCGCGGTTAAGCCTGTAGGGATTACAAAGGAAGGAGTCAGGTGACCTGGATTCAAATCCTGACTTCACTGCTTTCAAGGTGTGGTAGATTAAGATGGCTGCAAATTCTTTTCACGCCTCCTCCCATTGAGAGATGGAGTCCAGGGCCGCCTGGGCGGCTCCATGGGTTAAGCGTGGGACTTCGGCTCAGGTCGTGATCTCAAGATTGGTGGGTTGGAGTCCTGCCTCAGGCTCCGCGCTGACAGCTCAGAGCCTGGAGCCTGCTTCAGATTCGGTGTCTCCCTCTCTCTCTGCTCCTCTCCTGCTTGCACACTCTCTCTCTCTCTCTCTCAAAAATAAATAAACATGTAAAAAAAAAAAAAGAGAGAGAGAGAGATGGGGTCCACCCCCATCTTGCTTACCTAAGCCTGGCTTCTGATTCACTCTGGCTAAGAACCTGCAGAAGTAGTGCTGAAGGCCAGAGCTAGAGGAGACGTGCGGCCTCTGCCCGGGCTTCTCAGGACAGTCCCTCTCAGAGAGGCTACCTCTGACACTGAGTGACGGCTCTAGCTTTCATTCGCTCAGCAAGCATATGGGGACATCCAGCCCAGCGGAGCCTCTGGGTAACCACAGCCATGGCCAACATCTAACTGTAGATGCCTGAGCCCCAAGTGAGAACCACGCAGACACCTGCAGAGAACCAGAAGCAACAATAGTAAAGTGCTGCTTTCCGCCCTGGGGGTGTGTACGGAGCATGACCTCGGGGGAGATCCTTAGCCACTTGGAGGTTTAGTTTCCTTCTGCAAAGTGGGCAAGAGAGCAGGTCTACTTCCTAGTTATTGTCACACGAAGGTAATAATGGTGGAAGTGGTGAGCGCGGTGCCTCGCACCCAGTAGGACCTCCAATAAATGCCAGGCTTCTCCCCTGCCCGCTTCTGTAGGAGGTTATATATCCCAGGTGTGAGTGAATCTTGGCTGCCGCTCACAACTTCCTGGGCAAACACCCAACTTCTCTCAAAGGGAATGCCCGGGATCGAATTTGAAAATGGGGTTGGAGAGAACTTCATTTTTTTTCTTCTTTCTGGGGCAATCTGTCTCCCCCTTAGGAAAAATACCACTACCTTATATGAGGAAAATTGTATGTTTTTAAAAATTTCTCCTCAATTCAAAGGATCGAGAGATTAAGTTTTTGCCTCTTTTTTTTTTTTTTTTTTTTTTTTTTAAACAAGAAATAAGCTTGCTCACACTGAAAAGTACCGGCATGAAATAAAACAACTCCCCTTCTGTTTCACAGCCAGCAGGTTTTCTTCAACACCCCAGCCCTGGAGAGCCACAGATTGCACAGCGGGCAGACTTTGTTGAACAGATGAACAACTGTGGCTTAATCTGTTTGGGGAAAAGAAAAAAAAAAAAAAAAGTCCTGAAGCAATTGATAAAGAGGCTGAGAGGCTGAGGTCAGTGTGAAGGAAGAGTAAATGAGGCCAGATCGGGGAACGTTGAAACCTAAGCCTCCTTCACCCCCTGTGCTGAATTGGGTGTGTGAGGAACAGTCGGGACGAATCTGCTGGGAGGGGGACTGAGAGCCTCCTGGATGGCCTGAGCTTGGAGTTATGTTTTCATTATTATTCAAAGTTATTTTATGGGGGCGCCTGGGTGGCGCAGTCGGTTAAGCGTCCGACTTCAGCCAGGTCACGATCTCGCGGTCCGTGAGTTCGAGCCCCGCGTCGGGCTCTGGGCTGATGGCTCAGAGCCTGGAGCCTGTTTCCGATTCTGTGTCTCCCTCTCTCTCTGCCCCTCCCCCGTTCGTGCTCTGTCTCTCTGTCCCAAAAATAAATAAACGTTGAAAAAAAAAATTAAAAAAAACAAAACAAAATTATTTTATGTCATTTCTTCCTCAAAGGTTTTTTTGTTTTTGTTTTTGTTTTTGAAAACTGTACCAGAGTATAACAGAAAAGTACATGAATCTTAAGTACCGGCAAGTGAGCGTTCATAAACTGAACACATCGTATAACCAGCACGTGGGTCGAGAATGGAATATTAGCGGCACCCCAGAGCCCCCCACAGGGAGAATCGCTCTCCTGACTCATAACCTCATTATTTTCAGTAGCTCAGACACATTCATGTGTGTTCTCCTAGAGACGCTCCACACATATACAAGAATACAGATTTTATTATTTTGCACAAATGTAAAAATGTATTTAAACAAATTTTTTAAAAATATTTATTTATTTTCGAGAGACAGAGCATGAGCAGGGCAGGGGCCAAGAGAGAGGGAGACACAGATTCCGAAGCAGGCTCCAGGCTCTGAGCTGTCAGCACAGAGCCCGATGTGGGGTGGGGCGGGGCTTGAACTCAAAAACCTCTAGATCATGACCTGAGCCGAAGTCAGAGGCTTCACTGACTGAGCCACCCCCCCCCCCCGCCCCAAATAAAGATGTATTTTGCGCACTCTGTAGCCTATTCTCCAGGACAATCTGCCTCTGGATGTTTCCACATTTATCTCAGGGATCGTTCCATATCACTACATAGAAAGCAGCTAAGTTTCTTTAGTGGTCACACAGCAGTCCATTGTCGGGATGTACCACAATTTAATTTTACTAAAAGGCAAAGAGGTTGTGTTCAACCTTTTTGGAGCTGGCCTTTTTTTTTTTTCCTTTTAGAGTATTCTTGAGGCATCTTTGTTGTGCTTTAGATGGAAGGTGGCAACCAGATGCTGCTCTCTGGAAGCCTTAAAAATACTGCTAGTAGTTCTTCCTCATTTCTGAGCCGTGTTGGGTGTGGTACCACCTGGGGTGGTCGCCTATTTTATTGCCTTGTCCTGTTAGGACTCAGTTGTTCCATGTTTGAATACGTATCCAGGAAGTGGAAATAATGTCCCTGACACCCCCACTTCCTTTTCTGGCAAATCAGTGTCCGGTGAACGGATCCGACTGCTTTCACCCACCCCTTTCCTTCAGTCAGCTGCCTGCCCAGCATTGTCCTGGCCGAGACCTGGAGGTTTGGGAAGAAGGGCCTCAGGAGCTCTTCCAGGCGGGACTAGTTGGAGGAACTACTGTTCTTTTGGGTTGAACCAAGCCCTCCCTTTCTGCCTGCCTTTTCCTTCTGTGGGTCTTTTCATCTCTCAACTCCAGTCTGGGCCCCAGGCTCTGGACCCTCCCTGCTCTGACCTCAGCTCTCAGAATCATTGAGACTTGGTGCTAGTTCGAGTCGGCGCCTGCTTCTTTCTCCTCCGAGTATTCGCTCTTTCGATTTCTTGCCGATCATATTTATAGAACAAAAGACTTTGTCTCCTTAAGGCCTTTGGATCCCCTGACGGGAGGAACAGTTATATATTTGGGAGTTGGGGCGATCTCCTCCTCGTCTCCCTCCTTCACTACCAGAATCAAACCCGTCCTTTCCCAGCCCTCAGGGGACGGGCAGGAAGGGACAGGCGTGGCTGGGTCAGGACCTCAGGGCGAGGTGGGAGTCACCTACAGCAGAGGGGAAATGCCACCAGCTTGTACGAAGGGTGCCAAGGCTGAGCTATAGAAACACGCCCTCGGAAGGCAGGGTCACAGGCAAGTATCAGGGAGGGAGCAACTCCAGTTCAGGGTAGGAGGGAAGTCCTCGGGGGTGTAACACCGGGAGGTGAGGATGGCTGGCTCACCTCTTGGAACTGGCAGCCACACCTTCTCTGAGCCTCAGAGAAGGCAGTAACAGTGACCGCCTTGTAGACTTGTAATAAAGATGAAATGAGTTGATATATAGCCATGGTAAGCGCTCTATAAATGTTAGCTCTCATTATTATACGAGGTGGCCCAGACACAGTGGCCCCAGTGCTGATTACTGGTGGCCAGATTAGCTCTGTCCCTGCTCCATCTCTCCCCCTGTGACTTGGCCTTGGCCTAACAGACAGCCCCGCCTCTCCCTGCCGGAGCCAGTTCTTGGTCTCTGCATCCCCTTTCACGCCCCTCTCTCATGCCTGCTCCCTCCACCAGGGAGCCCTCATTCTTTGCTCTCCTTCATCACTGCCTGTCCCTCCTTTCAGGAGGGGCAAGAAAGCCCACAGCAACCCCTGGAAGATGAAACCGCTTCTTCTCCTAGTGCTTTTGTGTCTCGCTTGCCCCTTAATCTTTGCATTGTCCAGTCTCCTTCCAAACTCCCGACTCCAGGGTCTCCCTGCCATCCCCTCCCCTCCCCCTTTGCGTGCCCTGAGGACAGTCTGGTGGGAGAGGAGAGGAGAGGATGCACAATCCTGACACCTGGGGACTCTCCTGGGATCAATGGTGGCTAACACATCTCTACCTCCTGGCACCTATTGTCCGTGCAGGACGATAAGAACAACAGACCTGAACAATTTACCCCTGAGGACCTGCTACACACCCTGCATTGTTCCAGGCATTTCACAGTTTACTCTTTCATTTAATCCTCACAGCAACCCTCTGGCCTGAGTATTAGAACCATTCTGTAGATTTTCAAACTGAGGCTCAGAGCAAGGTTTCATCACTGCTTAGTAGTCGAAATGGGATTTGAACCCAGGTCTGCTTGACCTCAGAGCCCACCCGGTAGGACTTCTGATAGTAATAACATTTTACATTCTGTTTTGTATTTGGATCGACTAGCCCAGGAAGTGGTGTTTTCGACTTTTGAACTTGGGATGCCCAATGGATTAGCTGAGGATTGCAAGCTTTGTCTTGTCCACGCACAGATTCGATTTTGAAATAGCCAGATTGTAGATTCTCGAAAGTAGTTTTGCCAAGGGTCACGTGGGTGCATTTGTTTTCCCAAACTTCTGAAATACATTCCTCTGTAATAAATCTCCCAGAGGAGAGCAAGAATTAGAGAGACGGTGTCCAGGGGCTCCCCACCTCCAGGGAGGGGGCTCATCAGGATAGAGGCACATCACAGAAGGCACGGACAGGAAAAGCAGTGGATAGAAAAGGGTGCCTCATCATGTGGGCTTCTAAAATGGCTTGAGAGTTGTACTCAAAGCGAGCAATGCTCACCTTCATGGTTAGCTTAAGAGCACTAGCTTTCAAAGGCATCCTTCATAGCTCCCAAACAGTCAGAGATGTATGAAATGTCTAAGTGGAGTTTCAGTCTTACCTTCGACCTGAGGTCTCTCCCACCTGTTTCCCTCAAGGTTTGAACTACTCGCCCTCTGGATTTTTGCCTGAAGCTCTCATTTGAGCATGGTCTGTCTAATGATATCCCTAGTTTTCTAGGATTAAATAGGGGGACTGCTCTGGATTGAATGGTGTTCCCACAAAATTCACGTCCACCCAACAACCTCCGAGTGTGACATTATTTGGAAACAGGGTCTTTGTAGACGTAATTATTTAAGATGAGGTCATCCTGAATTTGTGTGGGCTCTGAATCCCATGACTGGTGTTTGCCTAAGAGAAAGGAGAGAGAGAAATCACACAGCGACACAGGTGATGAAGAAAGCCATGTGCTGACAGAGGCAGAGATTGGAGTGAGGCATCTCCAAGCCAAGAAACACCAAGGATTGCTGGGACCACCAGAAACTGGAAGAGGCAAGGGAGGATTCTCCCCCAGAGCCTTCAGGAGAAGCGTGGCCTGCTGACACCTTGATTTTGGACTGCTAGCCTCCAGAACTGTGAGAGAATCAATTTCTGTTGTTTGGAGTCACCAGTTTGTAGTAATTTGTTCTGACAGCTCTAGGAAACCAGTACAGGGATCTCATTTGGCTCTTTAAATAAAAAGCTTCTTTTATTATGAACATGTCCATAGGCTTTGTCTTGTTTTTAAACAAAGCTCCCTGGGCCTCAATTTTCTCACCTAGAGACTGTTTGTTAGTCAGCTACGGCTGCATGAAAACTACCCCAGACCTCAGAGGCACAAAACAACGAGCATGCGTTACCAGGCTCCCAGGTCTGGGGGTGGCTGGGTGGCTCTGCTCCACATACGTCTTGCTCTTTGAGGACCACAGACCTCCTGGGCGTCTTCTTAGGGCAATGGCGGAAGGCCAAGTAGGGAAGCCCCACTGTGTAGGCACATGTAAAGCCTCTGCAGGTGTCACATCTGCTAACATCCCATTGGCCAAAACAAGCCAGAAGACCAAGCCCAACATCAGTGGCATGAGAGTACCCTCTGCTCACAGCGAGAGGGGAAAGGGAGTGAACACAACCATAATCCCAACTATCAACACAGATGGCATAATACCTGCGGCTATAGACTGAATGCCTGTGTTCTCCCAGAATTCATTTGTTTGTTGAAACCTAATTACCATTTGGAGGGGAGACCTTTGGGAAGTGTTTAGGTCATGAGGGTGGAGCCCTCAAGCCCTTATGAAAGGGACCCAAGAGACCCCCAGAGAGCTCCCTTCTGTTATGTAAGGACAAAACGAAATAATAGCCATCCACGAACCAGGAAGCCAGTCCTCA